AATGAAGCAATAATCAGCACCTTGATTAGCAGATGACTAATGATAGGTAATATCAGAATCCACTTATGATCAAAGCCAACAGTAGTCTGCGCAACACTACAGGCATTCTTGGTTCACCAGGAAATGGAGCTCGCCCTACCACAAGTTCAGGTGCATGAAATGGAAGACAAGACTTTTTCAAAGGTAACAGTAGCAGGGTCTCTAAAATTTCCGTTTTTTGTTTTCTTGATTTGAGATCTTTATAGTAAACAGGGGCTGCCTTAAGAACCCAGCACTGATTTCAAAAAAATTCTCCGTTTTTAATATTTTTTGGTACACATGAAGGCAAAAGATATAAGATAGGAACTCAGAGAAGATTCTGAAATCTTATTCCTGGACGGATGGCATTAGGAGCTGGTACATGGGAGGGAAGTGGATATCAAAGAAAACATCTCAGTTTTCACAATTTTATCCAAGCTTCACGACCCAATTTCCAATTATCCCTGAGTCATCAACTCCAGGTATAGGTATGATATGAAGACCAAATAAAATATACTTTCTACCTTTCGCCAAAACAAAATTAGAAAGCTCGTTAGTATTATATGTACTATTTTTCCATGTATTTCCCTTAAGCCTTGAGTTTATACAGACCTCTATTCTGGTCTTTTGGAAAAGCTAACCCAGCATGTGTACAAGGGGATGGAACTGCCTAGTTAGAACCATTCAACTCATCCCACCATGCAGGCTGCATACAATTTGAAGATATGCTTTATTGCCGTTAGGCAATTGAGTTTGTGACCCTTGAAGAGCCATTCCAATTTTTCCCCCTTTCATTGTGTATGAGGAGACTTGACTTATGAGATACATTAGGGGAATTATACAAAATCTTTTCAACTTTTGCCTTAATACCTAGAGTACAGCATTGAATATAGTCGGGGAGAGACTGACCTAGAAATTAAGGCAAACTGCCCAGGTGTTCCACCCCAACAATAACTCTTCCTGGGGCTCACTGTTCCATGTCCCTTTCTGGGGATATGGATGCCAGCTCGCTATTGACAATGTTCTATCATGTCCAAATGAGACAGGATGTGGAAGTTCTAGAAAAACAACAGCTACATCAAGCTTCAGAGATGCATCACTGGGAGGGAAGAAGTGCCTTGCCTGTCATTACTCCAGTCGTAATATAACAGCCAAAATGTTTCTGAAACTGCCATTTATGATGCTGTATTAGTGTATGAGGGCTGCTATAATAATATACCAGAGACTTGGTGGCTGAAAAAAACCAGAAATTTATTTCCTCACAGTTCTGGAGGCTAGAAGTCCAAGACCAAAGTATTGGCAGGTTTGGTTTTGCCTGAGGTCTCTCTCCTTGGCTTGCAGACAGCCTCCTCCTCCCTGTGTCCTCACAAGGTCTTTTTCTGCATGTGTTCATCTCTGTGTCTCTCCTGCTTCTTAGGAAAACATCAGTCTCATTGGGTTAGAATCCTTCCATATGACCTCATTTGATCTTAATTTCCCCTTTACTGGACCTGTTTCCAAATACAGTCACATTCTGAGGTGTACTGGAGGTTAGTTAGAACTTCAATAGGTAAATTTAGGAGAGACACAATTCAGTCATAACACTATCCTCAAAGCAAACCTTTAATATAGCAATAAAGTCTAACACTAAATGGTCCCTTTGTTCCAGAGACTGTCCTAAGTCTCGATGGTCTATTAACCCATCATTCTCCCAATAACTCTCTCATGTTGGCACATTCTTACACATGAGAAACTGAGGCACAGAGGCTAAGAAATATGCCCAAAGGTCACGCATCTAGCAGATGGCAAGCCTGGGCAGTCTGGGATATTTAAATCCCATAATCTGCCTCAAGAACCCATATGCTTGACCACTGTCCTCTATGCCCCAGGCTTTAAAGGCATGGATGCCAACTGTGGACGCATGAGACTGTCCCAGTGGAATCAACTGCCGATCAATGAGAATAATTTAACTAAAGGCATTCTCTGTGCTCTCATGATGCAGTTCTACTCTATAAACAAAACTACCAATTGTTCACTCTTTCTCATGATTCCAGAGTATGTTACATGTGACGCATAGCGCACAGTGGTGAAGTCAATGGGCTGTGGGGCTGCACTGCCTGGCTTTAAAATAGGAGCTCTGCTACCTCTAACTGAGCAACTTTGGGCAACACTTAACTGCTCTGGACCTCTGGTTCCTCATCTATAAAATGAAGATGACAACATCACTCACTTCCTGGGGCTCTCATGAAGGTCAGGGGGGACAGTCCATGTAAAGTACCAGACACAGTGCACATTCAATAAATGTTGGATGACTCTGCCTATCTGATACTTTTTAAGTGATAAACTGTGCAAAGAGTGGGTGTTTCATAAAAGCTTAACTAAGTTCTGCTACATGTCATGTTACAAAGGAATATTTTCATGAGAAATGTACAAAAGCTCCCCAAAAACAAGTTAATTGGAATCTTAGAATGTCCCCTTGTGTTTCATTTATACTTCTAAGTCTCAAATACACAGTTATATTTCCGGAGAGTTTGTGTTTATATCTTTAAATATTGCAGTAACAGAAGATCTTAGAGTACAAAGAAATAATTTATGCAGATATATTAGAACCACTTAACAATGGATATGAGAAAAATCAAGCCAACGTCATAACATTACTGTGAGGAAATAAGAAAGCAATGAATACCATGGCCAAAAGAATAATCAAGATCATTCTCAAAATAAAAGTTTTTGTAACAATACTTGGTTTTCTTATGCATAAAGCAGAATTACAATTATGGATTGCTAGGAGAATCGAGTAGAACAGTGTACAAAACACATTATAAATGCCAATGCCTACTTATGGAATCTTCAGAATAAAAACACTTCATTGCTGCTTTTATTTTATATAAGCCATTCTGGTGTGGCTTTGAAATTTGCAAATTTTTAAGGCTCCTTAGAAGATTCTTATAATTGTCCAGGTTTAGAAACATATTAGATGTGCAATTAAGGACGCCATTATCTTTACTATATCAGTATAATTTCAGGTTTACATTCAAATTGTTACCCTTATACGACAGCTCTTTAGAGACACAAGTCAAATTTGTGAGCCGATTCAGAAGTCTGGAGTGGGGTCCAGGAATCAGTATATTGCCTCCAGGCAATTCCGATAGTTATGTGGAAACCTCTCCTATAATTTTGCACCATGTCTATCACTTAATTAAGACTAAATGTGTTGACAGACATTCTAGTATGTAGCTCTAGTATGAGGTGACCAAAAAATCCCTTAAAATATGTCTGGCTCCAGATCTCAGTCCGTCACCATAAGACATTCCTTATAACACATTTTCATCACTTAGATGGCAGCTCTAGTGCAAAATCAGCCATGGGGCTTACAGGGTGACATATGAGAATCACAGGCAATGGGAACCAACAATATTGATGCGAATCTGAGCTTCAACTGCAACTCGTCTATGCAGATGCTCACAACACTTCAGACGGTCTCCTAGGCTTGGATGAGCGATCTGCCTAATTCTCTGCATCCCATTGCCAGAACGGTGCAGTCAATCTGGGGACCATTTAGAGAGGAACATCCAAACTCAGATAATAAGCTCACTTCACAGGGAGAAGTGGAAGATACATGGAATTGGTCTCTAAATGAATGCGGAGGGATTAAGCCCCGTTGGCATGTTGGTTACTGTAGTTAAGTAAAATACAATTAAAAATAGGGAACAGGATAGAATAGATGAAAGGAAACCTTCAGAGCAATAACAAAAAGAGCTTCCACTAGAAGTGAATTCCTAATGGCTTCCTAGGAAGTGGCACAACAGTGATGCCTGGAACATCAGTAATTTGGGTCACATTTTAGTTAGACACAACTAAAGCTTTTAATGTATACAGGCCATAACTGAGGAGATATTCTTGTAGACGGAATGAAACAAAAAGAGTAAAATAAATGAAACAAAAAGAGTAAAGAGGATAAAAGATAAATGTTCCTCAATGAACATTTTTGCCCTCCCTCCCCCACCCCCTGCATCTGGCACCATGGACAGCAACACCCTAATATTTACAATTTCCTCTGTGGACACTGGTAGCTACAATGACAGCAGGAAAGTAAACCCATGTCCTTACATTGTCCCATGTCCAAACATTTTCCAGAGGGCCTGGAAAGCCTCTTATGGCCCAGCTTTCTTCTCACCTCTAGAATGACCTCTAGATTTGAAGCTTCGAACCGCAGAGACCCCACCTATGTCTTCCCTCTCCCTGACCCTCATGCATGATCTCTAAAGAGTGATATGCTAATCAGTTACCCAAGCCTTAGAGAGATAAACAAATAATTTTAAAAACTGTGCCTTTATTCATGTGTCTGTTAAACACATAGCAGCCCATTAAAGGAACAAGTATCACAAATCGTGTTTCTCAACCTTTTTCCATCATGGCCTCCTCTGATGAGCTTTTTCCGACATTTTTCTAATGTCAAACTCCCCCCCCCCGCCCCCCCCCCCACG